GTTCTTGCTGCCAGGCAGGGAAGCAGCTTGTGCACAGTTCCTCCCCTCAAACATTGTAATCAGCATTTGTTTAGTGTTATTATATATGCCTCAGAGAAGGAGGCTTGAGAGGAAAGCCTTTTTCTGCGAGCAGCAAAGTGCTCCGATTGAAACTCATAAGGAGAGGAGTGGAAACCTGCTGTCTCTGGCTCCCATGGTCTGATTTAGCCATGGTGTCTTTTACCTCCAGTCCAGAGTCCCTGGCTGGCCCACACTACTGCAGGTTTAGGAGAAGAATAGTGGTGCTTATCCTGAAAGCCTGTTATTTGTGTGCATAGGTGTGTGTGTCGTTTCACACAGCGTGCTGGCATTTCTTTTAAACAAACTGCTTTGTGAGTCACTGAGATGTCAAAGATTATACGACCACAGCAGATCTCTTGTACAGGTTTTTACTGAGTGTGTGTGTGTGTGTGTTCTGTCCAGATGGAAGTGCTTATTGAGTGCTGGCAGATCACTCTGACTCAGTGAGAGCAGGAGAAAATCAGCGAGGAGAAAAAGCAGAGTGGAAAACCTTTCCAATCAGATCCATCATCTCACTGCGTGCGTGTTTATACAAGTAGATGTGTGATCTTCCCATCCAGCTTTTCCTGCCTCCCCTCTCTAATCTTATCGTGTCGGAGCAGCAGATTAGTCCTCCCAGATCTCATCTCGGCCTCCAAATGCCTCAATCAGCCTTTTGTTCTTCGGTCGTGCATGCTCTCCCCTCGCGACAGGCAAGGTGAACATTCCCACACATTTCGAGCTGTGTGTCGGTGTCACACCGATACCAGCCCTGATCTAACATACCGAAGGCTCTCCTACCCCTGGGGCATTAGCTAACTAAGCAGCCTCCTAGCTGAGCTGAACTGCTTGACATTCCTGGCTAACATAGAGTTGCTGCTGCTGTTCTTGTCTCTTTGACCTCCTCCTCCTTTTTTTCCCTCCCTCCCTCCCTCCCTTTCTGCCTTCTCCTTTGTCTGCGTGTTTGAGATCTGTCTCAACTTCCTCACTTCTGGTTGCCACCTCCCGAAGGAAGTCATAGATTCTGGCTGCTGTAGCCACCAGTGAGGGGAAGTGTGTGCRCGCGGGGAGGGTCACTAACAGAGTTGGCAGAGGAAGAAAAGAGTGTTTGGGGTAAAAGAGAGAAAATAAACAGAGGTTTCCTGTTAACAAGGTGCACTGCTGGGTCTGTCGTGTGGAAGCTGTAGGATCTGGTATTGTTTAAAGCAAGGCTGTGGCGGTAATGTGCAGAAAGGAGGAAGAGAAATGGGAAATTAGGTTTTAAGTTTGCAGACAATGACCGTGGTGTCGAGGTTAATAGAAACAAATAGAGGAGTTTGCTGTTTTTAGAGCTTAGCAATAAAAAACACATTTTCAATCACAGTTTGGCCTACTACATTTAAGTCGACATCATCCATGTTTAGCTACTGTTTTGAAAAGCTGTCTGAATGTGACGTCTTCTGCACATGCGGGTCACATCAGTGCTGTGGAGAGTCCACACTGGAGTCCTTTGGAGGTCACGTTTAAAATATAACGTGAACGCTCACACACACAAAAAAAATCAGAATTGAGCATTWAGRCCTGCAGTGYGAATGTAGCAATAAATATGTCCAACTGAGCCTTAAAAGTTTCATAAAATGCAAATACCTGTACTCTTCCAGGAATTGACCTGAATAGTAATGTAAAAACAGTATAGGTTACAGTGCAATAACACATTTTCCTCTAAAATCAATGAATATTTGTCAAACAACTGTGAACTCACTATTGATCAAAAATAATTGTGTCCTTAACAATGCAGCTCGAGCTTGTTTTACTCTGAAACACAGAAACACTAAGAGGGATTGCTTTAGCTTTGAAAAGTGGTGTATTGATTGTACGGGTCTTTTACTTGAAACAGAGAATTAATCCTTCGCTCAGTCTATAGTTTTAAGTGTATACATTTACAGATTTTCTCCATTAAATAACAGCTGCTTTTTAATGCATTTAAAGACAACGAGTTTAAAGAGGGAAGGCTGACCCTTGCACTCCCCTCTTACACCCAGTCTTTGTAGTATTGTGGCTGGGTGCAGAGGCCCCGGCTGCAGAGTTGACTGCACACACATGCAGCAACACAAAGAACACTACACAGCCATTATGGACCCAAGGGGCCGGCCACCTTTAGCTGGTCATGGACAGAATTAACAGGCTCACACAATCCTGGGCTTGTCTCGTCTAAGATGTATGCATGTTTTTAATGCTTTTTTTGTTTGTTTGTTTCCTTTTTTTTTTACCAAAATTATACACATTTATTTTCATACCAGTCTTTAACCCTCTGAGAAATGTCCTTTTCTATGCAGCGATTCCTGTCTGATGAGTAAGCTCAAGAGCGCCACAGGCCAGTCTGAGCCACTGGAGGGAGAGGTTGCTATTGTGTTCATCCCCAAAGCATGACTGTCAGATTTATATCACCCCAGTGAATAAAAGGGTAGCCTTGTGCCCTGGGGGTTTCAGTAAAGGAGGACAGTTTTAATTTAAAGTCTGAGGAAATGAGATGGCCTTAGTATTCCTAACTTAATCCTGCTTATTACTCTCCCCTCATGTTGCTCTTTTTATCTTTTCTTCCTTGATCTTTTACACTTTAATTTTTTTCCGCCTCTGTTTTTGTTTTATTTTACCTCTCAGTGGAGTGTTAGGAAGTCTTTTGGCCTCTCTCTGCAGTGTGGAGTATTCCCAGGGTTTATGGCCCATGTGGAGGGAGGGCAGCACCATGTTTAGCCTCTGGCAGGACAGACAAAGATGTCTGACATTGTGCGAGGCTCAGCTATCCTCGGCTCTCCACGGGCAGCGTGGAATGTCTCTAATCAATTCAGCATTGTGGTCCTTATACGTTCTCACTCTGTCATTTTCTGTGGCAGGCTTAGCAAAACCCAGACAATGCAACTGGTAGTTCGTTTGTCGAGTCTGAGCTGTCTGTCATCTCGCCTCATTTTCTCCTTGTATTATCTAGCCATTTTTCCTCCCCGCGTGTTTATAGAATTGTGATAATTGAATGCTATGCTCAACTCCCACTACGTGCTCCATATGTTGCGCTCTCAGTCTTTCTCTCCATTTCCCTCCCTCTTTTGCCTGAGAGGGCTTTATGCTGCGGTGAGCTTCATAACAGCAATCTGTTCTGGAGAGTGGCAGCTACTCTGTAGCAGCAAAGATACTGATGACATTTTGCTTTAGTAAGTAAAAAAAAAAAGGTGTTTTATGTATAAGAAAAATGTGGATGTGCATACAGTTTTTCACTTGCCACATGCTTTGTTTGCATCTGGCTCCGTGCTCCAGCTCTCCTTGATTTTTGTGGTTTTACAAGCAGAAAATGAAACACTCCGGTAGTACACTGGTGGTGTTTACGATATTCTTAATGCATTAATTATGCATAAGCACCAGATAACAAGTCGTTTTGCTGTGGCAGGCAGCCTGTTAGTCTAGAAGGCAGCAGTGTCGGTGCACTGGATCGACAAGACATTGGGGTGGGTGGGCTGACTGCTGGAAAAGAAGAAGGAAAGGGGGGACATGACGTCATTGCACACATTTTTTCACACACAGTACGCCTTCGTGCTCAGGGGGTCCTTGTCTTAATCCATCAGTACGGCTCTCTGTTGAATCACAAGAAGAATGTGTGTGTGTGTGGCTGTGTAATGTTGCGTGCATGGCTCCTATAATCATCCGGCGCAGTAAATGCAGCTGAGAGACTGCATGCCAGCTGCTGTTTAACACGTCCAGGCTCACTTATTCTCTCCCTTCCTGCTCAAGGTTGGAAAAAAGAAAAAAAAAAAAACCCAGAAGGGAAACAGATGAAGATGGGGTGGCGTAAAAGGTTGGACTGAGTGAGGTGGAGGGAGTTGAGGGAGAGGAAAGGAAAAATGGAGAGAATAAGAAAATCTGAGGTGGGCTCGAGGTTAGAGGGAGGTAGTGATTTGCTTGGCTGCGTGTGCTCTGCCTCCTCCCCGGTGACATAACAGAACAATGTACTCGAAAAGGCTTTAAATATCTTTACTCTGACCTCACGTTCCTTCACACACAAAGACGTCCACACACAAACTGGAATCTGGACAGAGTGGCTGTTAGCTGCTGTTTTGAGGCCTCTGTTCTCCTCTATATTTTCCACATTTCTTATCCCCACTGTCGTCGTCCTCGGGTGGTTTAAGTGTCTGTTTGCTGAGTGCAGTGCAGYCGAATCCCCCTAATAAAGATGGCTCGGGCCAATAGGACTGTGTCGCATTCCAGCACCCAGCACAGCAGTCTCTTAGTGTTTTTTCCAACAACTCTGACCATCTATTGGGCTTATATGAAGGTACAATAAATATTTTATAACATGAAATGAAAACAGTGTTTTGCCCTTTTCATCCCTCACCTCAACATTGGCCTCAGCTTTTACTATTTTTTCCACCGCCTCCTTTTTCTCTCCCTCTGTTTTTTTTTCTTTTTGCCTTGAAAGGAGCCTCTTACCGCCTCAGTGCTGCCACCTCCTGGCCCTTTAAAGACTTGCAGCAGATTCTAACATGCATTAAATGAAAAGGCCAGTGGGTGGCAGCAAAAAAAGGAATAAAAAGTCTAAATCCTTGAGAAGAGATACTGTTATTGTCCGAGAAAGAGCTGTGAAAATGTTGATGGATTGTTAAATATCTCAGTTGAGAGTTACTATTAAGTGAAGTCAGATCAAGACTAAATTTAAATATTCTCACAAATTGTTTCTCACCACAGTTTTCCCTCAACCCTGTTTGCTTTATTAAATCTCTAAATGCCCTACAATCCCTTTTTAATTGACTTGGTGTCTCTGTAGGCTGTTTGGCATCGGCCTGTGTATGTCATAAACAGTGCATCTGTACGCCGTCTCCCTCTGCCAAAGAGGCCAGTTTGTGACGTTGTAATCAAACAAAATGATGTCTGTTTACTTGGTGTGGGAGCTTTTTGTGTCTCCTGTTCACAAGCTCTCTTCTTTCTCTGCGTTTCAGAGTAAACGGGACCATCTGCTGATGAATGTGAAATGGTACTACCGCCAGTCAGAGGTGCCTGACTCCGTGTACCAGCACCTGGTGCAGGATCGCAACAATGAGAACGGTGAGAGTTCCCCTCATTTTTTTTTKGGTTCGTAATGCACATGTGCGTGCGTGTACAATATAGGAGGAGTAAAAGTAAATCCACCTGATTTGTGTGAGGCCCCCGCCCCCCCGGTATCTCCTCACGACACACACATGCACACCTACTTGTCCCCGCTCTCCAGGCTGTTGTGTGATACGGGAGCTGGCTGTGAATTGCATCTCAAACAGAAAGCAGATGACAGCGTCCCGCGCTGCCAAGCCAATCCCACGGCTCTGTGCTGTTTCCTGGGTAACACTCCCTCAGGCCAGACAGCAGCACTGTCAAGTGTTAATAACCCGCAGTGTCATGTGGCCCTTGAGCCTACACCCTCTCAACACTGTCAGCGCCAGAGGACTCATCACACTCTAACACATACACATCTACAGGAACACAGGTGCTGTCAGTGACAGTTTGCAGCTGAATATAAGATCAGATGACAAAAAAAAAAAGAAGGTCGATGGATCAATGTTTGATTTTACTAACATATTAGTTATTTTAGGTTGGACACATTTTAAATAGTTCAAATACAATTGAACAGAGAACTATGAAAATGTTTTAAACCACTTATAATGTTTTATTTTTTTGCTTCCAAGGAGCCAGACTTTGTTGTAATCTTCTATTTTTTTTATCTGCAATACTCCAGAGTTTCTGAAGGTCCTTTTAAAGTTTTTCTTTGGATCCATGTTCTGTCCAGTTTTTGTACTTTTACTGTTTGTGTGCTTTGCAAAATCAGAAAAGTGGACCAGTGCGAGTCAGAAGAAGCAGTCTAGTCTAAATAAGTGTTGACAGCAGATGATCAGTATCTGTTTGTTTTTTTTAAAGAAAGTCCAACAAAGCCCTGACACAGGATCTGACAGACCCCTCAGTAATCACCTACTCTGTGCCAAGTTCTTGGCAGAGGATTGTTTAGGAATCAGTTTGTTAGTCTGAAAATAGGGTTTAATCTCAAAGTGTGGTGTAATTCATATTTTTATGGATCAAGCTTAAAAAAGGGAACAAATTATGACTTTGTGACAAACTGGTAATGTCTAAGTGCCTAAAGATCCATTTTAAATATTTCTTTTACTAAGTTGTCTACGTTTAGACAAAACATTGGCTCATGTTTTGAGTTCTCAAGTGAATAATTCATACTTCAGATTTAAGCAGCTTAACAAACTACAAAAAAAACTAAAATTAAATAATAAAAAGCTGCCAAAGTCCAAAGAAAAACTTCAAAAAACCTCAGAAAAACTAGAGAGCTATTGATTAAGCTCTTTAAAAAAAGATTACACAAAACTCTGGCTGTTAAACAAAGGGATGTCTTGAGACTTTTTCACTTTTGGACTCTGTGTTCCAAACATGATAATAATTAATCTGTTCCATTTATTATTAAACTTTTCTCAGCTGCTTTTCAACTTCTTATGTTACATGTTGTTCCAGCATGTTAACACGAAGCTCTTTTTCATATTTATATTGTTTGGCAGCAGGAATGTTTCGAAGCACATCTAAAGCTTAAATCTAATTTGTACCTCTGTTTTTGTGAAAGCTGCACGTTTTAAAAGCTTTTTTTTTTTTACTCGACCCCAGGTTTGGAAAACAAACTAGGCTCAGTGTCGTGATGCACAACCTCCTCCCTGGCTCGTCTTTTCTGAGTTTTATACACAGGATCAAATGTAAATGTGAACAAATGAAGACGTCACTGCGGCAGTTTTAAAACCATAATCTGAGCTGTTTTCTTTGCATTGAGATGATGAAAGCGACCACCCGGCGTGCTGCAGCTCACTGCAACACGCTGCTGTCTGTCGCTGCAGCGGGGACTCAGGACTGGTACAATTGATGTCACAAGGTCAGAGCACGGCGGCCGCAGCAGGCCACTGCTCTGGTTTTTGGTCAAAGATGAGTCTTTGTCTCCTTCTTAGAGACACGTCTCAACTCCTGCTGAGGTCATTTCACTTGAGAACTGATCATTACGTCCTCTTCTCCAGGGAATACAAATGATTGACTTTATTGGACGACATGACCTCCAAAGAGGTTCTTTCTGTTGAGCGTGTGCACAGATTTGTTTTATAAAAGAGTTTAAAAAATAAAGACTGCATTATTGTTTTATTTGTAAGGGAGTTTGTTTGTGATAAAAATGTGTTGATCGTGTGTTTGTTTTCCTGCAGACTCTGGACGTGAGCTGGTCATCACAGACCCGGTGGTCAGGAGTCGAGAACTCTTCATCTCTGACTATGTGGACACTTATCATGCTGCTGCTCTCAGGTACACCAGCACTCACCGTGTAGCTTTGTGAATAAAAATAAACGCAATGTCAGTTTTTGACACTCATCTTTTATACATTGACTGTGATCGCAGTGTTTTTACCTCAGGTTGTTTTGATGAACTCCTCTCAGATTTTTTGGGGTTAAGTTTTCTGTTCATTAAATTTGCAGTTATAGGTATATTTAAAATGAGAGAGATTTTATTATGTACTCAGTTGGGTTCTTGGATTTAATACGGGTTTCACAGAAATGTCAGCTACTTTTAGTGGCGCCCTCTGCTGTCCTTTAGGCTCGACTGTTTTCTGTCGGGTCAGTGGATTTTTTTGTGGTTAACTAGCATTTATATATGATTAAAAATAGTAATGTGCAATTAGATTTGACTCTAAATTAATTTTACTTTTACTTTAAAGTTTAATATTATAACAATATTATTTTAAAGAAAAGCACAATTATGACTAAAAGAACTGCATATCGAAAGGAGCTAAATTGTGTATTAAATAAAATCCTGATGTGCCTTAATTCAACAGCAAAATGATGGTAGYGCTATATTACTTCTTTATTTCTGACAGCTTGAATGAATATTTTTTATTATAGAGAACTGATTGGTATATTATTTTTATTTTTCTGTTGTTTTTTTATTTATTTATTTATTTTTTTCTTATTTCTATTACTGTTGGATGTTGTTTTGTTTTTACTGTCTGGAGGGACTACAGATGTAAATTAGCCTTAGGCTAAATCTGGTGCAATGAATCAAATGTTTTTATTTTTATGTTTTAATTGCACACTGTCCTGACTAAATAAATTCATTCATTCATTGTATGACTATATGGATGTAATACAGTTTTAACACTTCAAAAGGGTTTTGCTTAAAAAAAAACAGAGTAAAACTGTTTAAACCAGGACTCTTACACAGTCATAAAAAGTCTTGAAAAATACTGATTTTTCCCAGGTCTGGATAAGTAAAGTCTCTGGACTATTTGTAAGACCATCATGGAAAGTCCGATTAAGATAATTTAACTGATAAGCAGATACAAATATATCTATAATGAATTAAATTATAAAAAAAGTTTGATAAAAATCTGTAATGTTGTGATCAAAAAATTATGTCTATGCAAAAAAGGAACTTTTACATACAGATCCAAAAAATTAAACCGAATAGCTTTAAGAGAAACAAAAATCCTACATCCCTTGCAGTAGCAGACAGTTTCTACCCAAGATGCATTGTATAAAGCCAATGAAAAAAATGAAACCAATAGTTTTTAATTGAGAGGAGGAAAACATGTGCATCAACATATAAATACTAAAACTGTGCCACTGTACAAACATGGGGAATGAGTTAATATATTGAAATGTTCCTATAAAAAAATAACTCAAAAACTGAATGTGGAGAATCACAAAAGACCTTTAACGGACACCTGCCTCCCATTAAAACGCTTGATAATCTGCTTCTCAGTCCACTCCACACATAGAAAGCTGCACCTGTCTGAGGCGCTGCAGTGCTGCTGATGGCTCATGTCTGCAGAAACACATGCAGGTTTAATCAGTGATCACTCTTTGTCCCTGGCTCTGTGTCTTCAGCCACTCCCTCCTCTTCCTCTTCTCTTTAACCAGAACCATCTGCGAGCAGCAAAAAGCCATGTCTTCCAGAAACCACTGATTTCAGGGAAAATTAGCTGCAACCTCTCCTCCACAGAGCTCCCTTTGATTTGACTCCCTCTCCAGGCTTTAGATAAACGGGAGGGAATTCCAGTGGGATGCGGTAATGCCGCAGCGCTCACGAAGCTGGCTCTCCTCAGCACCCTTTAATCTTTTTCAGAGGGGAGGAATATACGGTCTCTCCGCCAGGCAGCCCCGACTCTATACGCCTGTGCAGACAGTTATTTTGGTGCAGCAGGATAGTAGGGTGCTGGAAACAGGAAATGGTATCAAGATGTGGTCAGAGCCTCAGCACCATCAGATTATTATTTATTTTATGATGGGGGGTGGAAATGCAAGTTGAATGACCTTTTTTTAAATTTTTTTTTTTCTGTGCCGTCTGTCTCTGATATTACTCTGCAGCAGGAGACAAGTTAGAGCTGACATGTTGAGCTGATGTTTCAGTAGCCGAAGCCTAATGTCTCACCACAAGTCTCTGACAGACAACCTGCTGCTGCTGTTTGTCACTTCTAACAAATGAACACACAAAGAGCTTCTAATTATCTGCTCCTGCCAGGCCGTCTCATTGTCCTTATTTGTTTATTTATTTATTTATTTTTACTAATACAGCTCGTACTCTCCTACAGGGGGAAATGCAACATTTCCCATTTCTCTGACATTTTTGCTGCCCGGGAGTTCAAAGCCCGCATCGACTCCTTTTTCTACATCCTCGGCTACAACCCAGAGACCAGGTGAGCCGCTTTGTTTACATCCTCTGGTAAATCATCATGGCTGCCACATTTGCTTCTTTTCTTGAATTATCCTTCTGCTCCGGTCAGTTTTTGAAAAGGCTTTAAAATATCTCAAATCCACAAGTGCAGCAAAAGCATCTTTTCCAGTTTCAATAATTTCCCAGGATCCAGTGAAATGTCCCAAATATTCTGTTTACTCRCATAACTAAAAGAGAACATGGCTCTTTACAATAAGTAAATAAATACCAGAAACAGTTAATGCGCGGCTCTGACACGCAGACTGCATTTATTACTTTGTTAGACAATTTAAAAGTTGTTAATTTAGTGTGTTTGACATTTCAAAGTAAAAGCATGCTGTGTTTGAGGACTTTTGCCACTAAAGCTCAATACTATTCAAGCATCACATCATTGTTTTCAATAAACCTGTTTTTGTGTAAAACATTAATGAACATAAAAATGTATATTTTAAATGAACCTTACATTTCAGCGTATTATTAATTTTGTTTTAGTTTGAAAAATTAAGTTAATTACGCAGATGGTAGAATCCAACGAAAGTTCAGAATTGTTGACATTTTTATTAGTATCACATCATTAATAGTCACAGTTATTATGTAGAAGTGCTCCAACATTACCTGGCAGTACCTGTTTTAATTATAACCCATCAAAGTCTTTTTTAAACTATCTTCTGTTTCTGTCTATGGTTACATGGTGCTTTCTGCTCATTAATCCTGATAATCTTATCAGTACACAAGAAATGAATTTAATGCAGTGTAATTAGGGGTAACGAGCTGAGGAAACCCCCTCCCTGTGGTTTTTAATTGTTTCAGYGTTGATTTCCTTACGAAAATGATATGTCAGGTTTTTAATTACAGATTTCACAGAGCACATTTTTGACATGTGACAGCAGGAGAAGCTCAGGTGAAAATAATAAATCAGCTCAACTTGTAGACTCAGCAGGATCCCTCTGAGTTCAGAAGTTTGATATGAAAAATCCTTGCCTTGCGTTTGGAAAGCACAAGCAATTGCGAAGAATTTTATATTTATGAAACATTTTGTGTTGTTTGCACAAAATAAATAGCTTTTTATATTTTTGTTGTCATCTTTTGTGTGTTGTATTTCCATTTTAGATATTGTACCACATTCAGTGATCATATTTGTAGAAGCAGAATTATAAAACTTGCTTTTGATTTTTTTTGCTTGTTTTGTTGAATTTTAAATGCTGTTTGTAACAAATGGCATTCGCTGTCTTGATTTTTTTTATTGCAGTTCAAGCGAACATTGTGTTGTGGAATTGTAGACAGTGTTTGCATCAGATACGTATGCAGACTGTTTGCTTAGCATGGTTTGTTTAGAAACACAACACTCAGTGTGGAAGCAATCTGCATTTTAACGTGAACTCTCCTCAGTAAACATAATACAGTGGGTCTGTGTTATTGATGAAAAAACAATGTGGTTTTCTTCTTTAAAATGTCTGAGTTTTATTACTGAATTCTGCTCTTAAAGAGGTCTCAGCCTTGAGTTACAACTCCATGAGKATTTATTCACTCTCCAAACAGATCGTTTTAGCAGGTAAAATATGAAATCATAACCTCTTCAAAACCCATGKTTTTTAATTTAATTTTTTTTATTTGACCTTTTATTAAACCAGGAAGATGAGATTAAAAATCTCTTTTTCAAGAGAGATCTGGCCAAGAACAGCTGCAGCACACAGACAATACAAAATTCAAAACTACAGATATTAAACCACATTAAAATACTTAACGATAAATAAAAGAAAAACAAGAAACACTCATAAAAGGTAAGATAGGGTTAAAATAGAGTACAAAATCTGTTAAACATTTACAAACGAATATCTTAAGTACAAACTGATTAATAATGACCCTAAAAACATTAAAAGAGACCAACTCCTTCAACTTCAATCTTTCTGCAGTAGATTCCAGGCTGAGGGAGCAGCAAAGTGGAAGGAGCTTTTACCTGTTTTAAAATAAATTTAATCATAATAAATATATTGATAAATGTATTAAATATTAGAGCATCATGTTATTTAACAAAGTGTGTACATCTACAATCAATTAACTTCTAGAATCAACATGATTTAAGATGTCAGCCGGAACTACAGTAACTGCCAACATACAGACCAATTGCATGTCTTTTCAAAATGTTGCCATTAACTGTTAGCAGTCAACTTTGTGTGTCTGTTAGCAAAATATCTCATGAAGCGCTGGATGGATTTTATTAAAACTTTTAGGAAATTTCCTTTGAATGTGGCTCAACAGCTGATTAACTTTTGGAGCCAACTCACCTCAAGGCCCTGTCACACTAGATAACTTGTGCAAACTTGTGATTTTTTTTTTATGTCTAAATTACTAATTAATATATATACAGTTTATATATTTGATCAATTTGTTAGCATTACTTCAAAGATCTCTTTAAAATGTTTATAAGTTGGCAAAAGTTGTCTAAAACATTAGGGCCTATAGAAAACACAAATTAGTGATTTTGTGTCTTGAGTTTTTGCCTGAGATTGTGGATAGCTTTGTAGTCAAGTTTTCACACACAAAAAAAACTACTGGATTTTTTTATTTAAACACTGACATTAAAAGTGGTGGCTCATATGCATTACTTCAAACTATCTTGGGCATTTTTTTTAAATAAAATAACTGCTGGTCGAGAAGTTATTTTATAATAATGAGCTGATTCTGTGCAGGTAAACTAGATGTTTGTTTTTGTTTACTGATTGGTGTAGGAGTGAGTCACGTGTTACAGTGACAAATGTCCTGTTGTTAGCTCTGAGGGTTGCCCGTCAGGAGCCCCCCCTTCTCCTCCAGGACCCCTGTTCAGCCCCAGTCCTCGGCTCTCCCCCCGTCCCTCCCTCCCTCCCTCCCTCCCTCCTCTCTGCTCGGTATTCAGAGCGAGGTGTCTGCAGCATTGCAAATTCCCTCCTGTTTATTATGGTGCAGACATGCGAGCATTCCACGTCCCGCGCGCGTGCACGTCAAGGTAATAAATGCGCTCGCGCTGAGGTCGCTGCGCATGCTCCGTGGCGCCCACGGAGGAGCGAGCCGAGCCTGTGTGTGTGACGACGCTGCGCGTGCGGGCTGAGGTCACAGCACAAGCTCAGTGAGAGCCGCTCCGGAGCCGAATGCGTGCTTCTCCATTTTGAGCGCAGAGAAATAGGTTGCGCGAGGGGAGCCGAACCCAGCGAGCATTGTGTGCAACATCGTGTCAGCACCCAGCCTCAGGGCTCCATGTCAGAAATGGACGATTTGTTCAGTCCCCGGAGGTAGGTGTGCGCTCATATTCTCCTGCTCTCCTCCTCCTCCTCCTCCTCCTCCTGTGTTGGTATTTATCAGCGCGAGTGTGTCGGCTTCTTTCTTCTCACGAGCCGCGTTTATTCAGCTGTCCGAGTTAAGTGTGATGTGTACAACCGGTCCACATCACTGTCATTGTGTTTGCGTGGATGTTAGAGCGTGCACCGTGTATGTTGAGCATGCGGGGCTGTCACTGCAGTTACGCGTCTGTGCTGCCAGAATGAGAAAAAATAAGCATATATGGCAGCATTTTTCCTTTTTTACATCCTCTTTAATGCCCACAGAAGCGCGCGGTTCTGTCCAGTGCCTACGCGCTGATACATGTGCGCCCAGCGGTGCTGTAAAGACGGCACGGAGACCCGGTGAGGCTTCCCCGGCTCCATTTTGCGGCTCCTGTTTACAGCCGGGATGACATGATGGCGCGTGAGGAGCTGCGGTCCAAACTCAGCCGGCTCTGCTTCGCAGCTGCCATCTCCACAGGCTGCTGTCATCACACCAACACCTTTAACTTTACTGTGCTGCAATTATGTCAGTGTGCCACAGTCTGWCGCTGCGATTGGCTGGAATTGATGGAGGGGGGCGGGGCTTCCCTTGATTACACACAGAAAGTTGCTCAGACTGTGACGTTGTTTTGGTTTTATTAGTAAGCCTGTAATTACTTGGCAAGGTTGCTGCTAATTTGAAGTTGAGCTTGTTGTGACCAATAAATGGGGATGTTTAACATGTGTGGCTTTTAGCAGCTTATTATGGAAAACAAGAATAAACATTGTAACCAAGCACAGCTAATAGATCTGTAAGCTTCCAGTTAATTCATTCTTCCAGATTAGCATGTAAAAGAAAAACATAATTCAAGAAAGCATCAGTACATTTACTAAAAAGACAGGTTCTCTCTCTTTTCATTTTTCCGTCTGCTGTTTCTGTTCGACTACGCCTGCAGTGATTTTGGAAACCCCTCCGATCCGCCTGCTGCAATTCACACTCTGCTTCATCTCAGAGGACCTTTGCAGCGTTAAAGCTGGCCTGTCTTCAGACGTGCTGCTTTTATTCTGGGGCGCAGGTCCTCGTTTGTCATCCTCACAACCTTTTGCCAACACAACCGTGGACCTGACCGGCTGCACACTGTCAGAAACACGTCTGCAGAACTTTCTTTGTTCAAAAACAAAAGCCAGAATATTACACTGCTGACCGTATTTCATTTATTTGTAGGCTTCAAAAGGACATTATTTGTTTTAAATAAATGTAATTAAAGCAGTCCGGTTTTTAAGTCACTRAAATAAATCTAAAGTATCAGAGGATTATAGGTGTGTAAAACATTACAAGAGGCATTAAATAAGCATGTTAAAACACAGTTTTACATGTGATTTAAGTCTTCTAAAAGAAAAACAGTGTAATGCAGGAAATAATCCTATTTAGTTTTTATCACCACTCAGTTTTGTAGCCTGACAACACTTTAGTGCGTTATGTTTGTTTCTATCTGTTGAGCGTGTTTATTCAGAACTGCAGCAGGGTATCGCAGCGTTTTAGGGCCGTGTTGACACTCGGATGTGTGGCAGCGCCTCTGTCAGCCACAGTATGGGCTTTGCCTGTGAAAACCATATCTTGTTAGAGGATCTGTAAAGGAGGAGTTCTGTTTGGGGGGGAGTCGGGTCACCCGTCACAGGATTTGTGTGGGTTTGAAGGCTGTAAAGAGACCAGAGGGGTTCTGGCCTCTCAGGTTTCCTCCAGGTCTGCGTGATGGAGTGCGAGCTGCTCCGGGTGCAAATCATGCTGACAGATTCTGGGCTGCCTTCGCGCTCGCTCGTATGAAAATCAGCGCCGTTGCCCGGGCAACAGAGGGGAAAGGCTTTTCAAAAGGAACATCTTGTCATTTTCTTTAATCCACTGCAGCTGGAGAATCGGAACACTATTATTAAATAGCAGTTGCCATGGCGACCGGCGTTTTTGTACCAGCAGCCGTTTTCCAGAGGCTCTCACCCTTCACATCCAGAACCAGCTACCCTGCCTCCACCTTCATCCTCCTCCTCCTCCTTTTAGGGGCTTCTGTTTTATTGCTGCATCCGTAATATCAGGCCTCAGTGTGCTGTGTTCGGCTCACAGCCAACCAGGAATAATTTCCTGTAATCTTTATGTGCTTCTCGGAGCGAGCCACGGCGTACTTGTTGCACTTTCAATACTTACTCATAAAGAATATAAACTAATAATTCATATATTTGTTTTTATGAATGCTTATAAGCATTTGCCAGTTTAAATCCCTGCTTTGTGTCCTTTCGTTTAACCGTTTGGACAGGATTCGTCGCGTGCAGGCAAATGTTTTTACTGCCTTTCCTTTTAAAAATTTAATGTGCAAATATTTGGTTTCAATCTACTCTCATTGTCTCTTCTCAGGCGACTAAACAGCACACAAGGGGAAATCCGAGTGGGGCCGAGTCACCAGGTGAGTCATGGTTCGGCACACAGAGGCTGCCTCTGGTGTCAGAGTTATTAACGTTTACCTGTAATTACCACACAGAGGAGCTCTCACATTTAAAATTCAAAATCATTTGTCTTGTACTGTTAATTATTTGGCTTTAACTTCTTATGGGTTTACACAAAGACCAACAACAACTAGTTTGTTCAGGTTTTTTAAAAATGGCGATATAGCTACAATTTCTTTAGCTAACACAAAAATACATCCACTGTTTTTTAATGAAATAAGGACAGTTTTAAGTTTAAATAATTCTTGTCTTTGAGGAACATTTTATTCAGTGTACAGAGAACACTTAATTCCTTTTCTGCTTTAATACATTTAACATTTATGGGATAAATCTTGKKCCAGCAGGAATTGAATTTGAATTGCTCATATTGAATCTGAATGTGCATAATATGAAATGGAATGCATTGGTTTGAAAATAAATTTCACTAAATTGAAACTGAATTTAGTTTTGTATCTGAATTAATTTGCTTTGAAACTGTATTTTGATTTATTAAAAATTCAGTTTGACTACTTTCACTTTCAGTTCCAAAATTCAGATTTGTGTGTCACATCCTGGTCCTTGAGAAAGTCAGCCTGAGTAATCAAACACAGATCCACAGATTTATGTTTCACTTTGGTGAAGTTTCCCTTCTGTAATGTAACAGAGTTGATGCAATCCACCGTAAAAGTGACAAAAACAGACAAAGTTAATTCATTGCAGTGATTAATTTTACCTTAATGTAGAAAATGTTACATTTACATCACATCATGGATCACATATTGATCAGATGCTGCTGCTGACTGATCCATGATGTGATGTAAATGTAACATTTTCTACATATAGGTAAAATTAATCACTGCAATAAATTAACTTTGTCTGTTTTTGTCACTTTTACGGTGGATTGCATCAACTCTKTTACATTACAGAAGGGAAACTTCACCAAAGTGAAACATAAATCTGTGGATCTGTGTTTGATTACTCTGGCTGGCTTTCTCGAGGACCAGGATGTGTGACACAAAAATCTGAATTATGGAACTGAAAGTGAAAGAAGTCAAACTGATTTCTTTAATAAATCAACATACAGTTTCAAAGCAAATTAATTCAAATTCTAAACTTTAAATTCAGTTTCAATTTAATGACATTTATTTTCAAACCAATGCATTCAATTTCAAATTATGCACATTCAGATTCAATCTGAGCAATTCACATTCAATTCCTGCTGGCACAAGATTTATCTCATAAACATTACACAAAAATAGTTTATACCAATAAAAATGTTCATCCACATTTCTAACTTTTTCTCTTTTAATTGTTTTTTTAAATTATTTTCTATTTTCCAGTACATTTCAGCTCATGTCAGTTTTATGCACCGTTACAAATCTTTATCTAAAAATAAAAAAAACTTTTAAATTTTAACACTAACGTATCAAGTTATGTTGCTTTCTCCTTCAGAGAATTTGCGTTCTTGAAAGAAAACGGTCCYTGCAGCTCGTTTTTGTTTTCTCAGTAGCTCGGACAGAAAGTGGTTTGAGTGATACATTTGCGTGTGAAGATGTTGAGTTTTTGTGACGCTGACTTGTCCCCGCCGCCACCATTCAGACACACAGTTGAAAACTTGATGACAGTGGGTTGAAAGCTGATATTTTCTTCAAGCACGCGTGCTATTTTCAGTGTGATACCATCTGCCTCTCTGCTTCTCTGTGGACCTAATTAGGCCAAGCTCCCGGAGCTGCAGCCTTTTCCCTCCCCTGGTGGTCAGGCCGTGACTGAGAATGAGGAGCTGGTCTGGATGCCAGGGGTCAATGACTGTGACCTTCTTATGTACCTCAGAGCTGCAAGGTGAGTCCAGGGAAACACGCACACACGCCTCACCCATGGCTCCAAAGTCTAAGATTAAACACCTGGTTCACCAAAGAAACTGACTGAGGCTTTTAAGATATGCACGATTCCAACTCTTCCAATTTACCGACTCACATCTTTATGTAGTTGAATAATTTCTGTACAGAAAATTAATAGAATTATCAATGAAAGTAAAACATCAGCAGGAGAGCAGATCCTTTATTTTGCCACATTTTTCAAGMTTTATAAATAAGCTGTCGCAGTGTTACGTTTTGTGTTTTTTTTTATGCTTATTTAAAGTGTCTGTGACAAAATACAWAAAGTCAAAGAAACATCTTTATTTAAGGAACCTAGCATAAAACATAATTTTACCCATCTTGTCACATACCTGGCATATTTTTCTTTTGAACTTGGCTCAGGAAAATGAAGCAGGAAGTGACATCAAAGGGGAACTCATTAAGGAAATGAACTCTCATCTTTGTTTATTGAAACAATGTTTGAACTTTTCTTCATCTCTCTGATAGTGACTCAAAATAATCTAAAGAAACATCAGATCCTTCACTACAGTCTGTTTTGTTGGTCATTGTAGCAACGCTGTGTTTACATGCAGACTTTCCCCTTTGACATCACTTCCTGTTACTTCACAGGCAAATATCTCAACAACTGTTTATCTCAGCRGTGTGAATTTTATTTTTCAATATGTTATCCATGTTATGTTTCCAAAAATTCATTCATGTTTTATACAAACGTTTCATGTCACAGGCACTTTAATGTTTCTTTTTAATTAGATTGTAGTTCAGTTTAACAGGTTGTTTTGTTGTCGTGCTGCAGTCTAWTTAACCAGTTTATCACAGTGCTGCTTTATGTTGTAGAGCTGTCACAGAGTTTTTCACAGTATTAAATGTTCTGTTTTATCCAAAAAAAAAACAAAAACAAAAAAAAACAATCCAAACCTTCAGATTGGTCTGTTTGCTTCTTTATAAATCCATATTTTTATTTGGAACTAGTGAATATTATTTTCACCTGCACTAATATTTAATCTATATAAATTATAAAGCAAACATGAAAATAGATGTTTACTGTGGTCATTACACTCAGTGTTCGGTTTGTTAACAGAATCCATGTTTTGTGTCGACAGGAGCATGGCTGCCTTTGCAGGGATGTGTGACGGAGGCTCGACAGAAGATGGCTGTCTAGCCGCCTCTCGAGATGACACTACATTAAACGCACTTAACACTGTAAGTATGCAACTCCTGAGCGCACACAGCAGAATACAGTTACCCAAYAAAACKTTAGAACTGGTGAGTTTTTACTGTGGGCTCAGGTATAATTTTAGCTGTGCAGTGACAAGGTCTCTGTGCTGGTTTGGTAAACTCAGCCACAGAAGCTAACAATACACTACGCATAATGAGAGATTTGTCCGTCACATTGATGATGAATGCGGAGGAATCGGGCACAAGAAAGAGATTAGAATCATCATAAACAGGGCATTTATATTCTGACTCTATAAACTGGAAAATTAACATAGCGAACAGGTCATTGTCTCCTGACCTTCTGCACTATTTKCAATTCCAATGAGTAATGCTTGTTTATTCTCAGAGAAAGAGCTCCAGCGCTGCCTGTTTCACCCAATTTAATGTGACACAATGCTTAAAGCGCCACAGAAATTGGCTGTGTCGCTTTCGTTGCTCATTTTTAGGCTGGTTCGCTCAGGTCCCAGCAGGCCTTTCCCCTGATGCTGTAAGATTTCTGCTAACAAATTCAGTCGCACCTGCATGTAGGAGCTATTTGATTGAATCTAGGGGTGTAAGAAAATATGGATACACTGAAATATTGCAGTATTTCATTTCCTGATTCTGTATCGATTCTCAGAAACAGAGTTTAATTGTAAACTTTTGAACCAGCGGCTCAGTTTTTATTTGTATTTTAGCCTTCGACTGCTAGCTGGCAGATGACCTAATTCCCCTCTGGGATCAATAAAGTATTTTTGAATTGAATGTTGTAAGAAGAAATATAAAATTCAAATGCAGTTCTTTTGATTGCTTAAAAATAAACTGAATTCAATCAGATTTTATGCATGCAATGCATGGTGTGCTCTTTTTTAATTAGAATCTTTTGGAGAAAAATGGCAATATATCACCTTGCTTAAAGTGTCAGAATATATTGCATTATATCATATTGTGACCCCTGTGTTGTAATATGTTTCATATCAATACACAACCATAATTTAATCATCTACTAATTAAAAGGGAAAGCCCAAAAGTCCATCCAATCACGCTAAAAAAAACTTAGTATCTGATCAAATATAAATGTATTTATGTCCGTTCATCTCYGTGTTTTAGATGTAAATATATTTCTTCTTTTAATGTTTCTCAGCTTCACGAGAGCAGCTATGATGCAGGCAAGGCTCTGCAGCGCCTGGTGAAGAAGCCTGTTCCTAAGCTGATAGAGAAGTGCTGGTCTGAGGATGAAGTGGTAAGAAAGACGTTTTCTTTTAATTTATTTAATGTGAACTAATACTCAGAACAAACGAATACTGCTTTCTGTTAATGTAGTGTTTTATTAATGCATTCTGTCAGAGCTGAGTCGTGTCTGTAGAAAGAACTGTTGGAGGTTAACACAAGGCTCCTGGCCAGCACGAGGAAAAAAAAGATATTCGTTTAGTTTCCAGCTCCTCCGAAGCTGAAGAGCAGCTGCGTCCTGTTTATTACCCACAAAATAAAATATTTTTTGCATGGAAGTCTGGAAAGGGAAAAGACTGGGGGCTGCTAACGCTGGCCTCCATTTGTAAATACTGTAGATGTGAGTTTCACCGCAGCTGCTGCAGGGCTGGACTCAGAAAATGGCTGATCAAACACCACAGCACGAGTGGGACGGAGGGGAATGAAAGCTCTGAATTATACCATGTCAAAACCACCGAGCACTGTGGCTTTGGCTTTTATGCGATTTGACACACTGGGCTTGATGTTTGTATACCCACTCCCTTTTAAAGATAACACTATTTCCTGATCTGACTGCAGATCTGAAATGGCTTCAGACCACAAGATTTCAGCTGTACGTTTATCTCCCTCCAGGAATAATGAGTTGTACATTTCCTGCTTTGATTTATTTTATTTTTTTAAACTAAGAACTGCACAGCTTTTGATGAAGCTTTTCCTTCTTCTTGCATGTGTTCACTGAAAATGAGCAGATGTGTTTGTCTTGTAATTATTTCATGACTTGCACATTTAAATTAAGTTTGGTGCTAATTCTTGATTCATCACAGGAAATCAAGTCAGACAAGCTTTTTTTATTGTTGTTTGTTTTGTAGACTAGCTATGAGTTTATTTATGCATCCTTGATGGCGCCGGATTGAACACCTATTTGAAGGTAATCACAGCCAGGATGTTTACAGGAGGCTTTATTTTTGTTCATGCRCTCCACAACAGGTGCTCCTGGGAAAAAGCACAGCAAGAAAGCAACATTTGAAGCAGTTATAAAACCCGACTCGGATCAGAAAACACACACTTTACTAACTACTTTTTTTAATCTTGATATTGAGACATTCTAAACTTTTTATCCAGAACTAGAATACAACTTTWGTAGGATAGTGCAAGAAAAGGTTCAATGACACGTTCCTAAAATAATCGCCCAAGTCTTTTTTTTTCTCTGTCTCTCCAGGTCTGTCAGGAATCTCACTAAATGCCACATGGGTCAAATTTATTTATTTATTTATTTATTTATTTATTTATTTATTTATTTATTTATTTATTTATTTGTTTGTTTGTTTGTTTGTTTGTCTTTTCTGAAAAACATTTAAAAAAATTAAAGAGGTGGTGACTTTGCGGCTCGTTTTTCCTACAGAAGTTGAAATCGCTCACAATTAAAAAAAAAATCTTTAAGTCTCATGACGAAATTAGACAAAATATCTTAAAAGCTACACAATCGTCACATTTTTTTTTTATTGTCGATTTATTTTTGTTTTGGTGCTTTCTTTCTCTGTTAAAGTGAGAAAAGTCAGGATAGATGGATACAGCCAATGTTTGCACCAGAATAACATCTCTGGAGAGACATGAATGTTACTGCATTTAAATGTTTTATCCTTAAAATTTAAAAGGGAAAAAAAACTAAACATATTAATAGTTTGTGATGTTCTAAACATGTAATATTTGATCATTTAAATACATATTTATTGTGACATTTAAATAAAATTTTGTAACATTATTAAAGGCCCTGTCACACTATAATGTTTTAGATGACTTATGTTGACTTATGAAAACTTTAAAACATCCACTGGAAGCCTCTTTTAGGCATGTACATACTGTAATTCCAACAAATTGATCAAATATATAACTTATTAGTGATTTAGACATAAAAAAATTCATAAGTTGCCCTAAGTTGTCTAAAATGGTAAAGTGTGACAGGGCCTTTACCAAGCCCCTCAGCTGATCTGATTCTGTTAGTTTACATTAAATTAGAACAGAAAACGTGATTGATTAGTTGCGTCATCTTTATAATAACGTTGCATTCTTCTGTGCAAGCCTCTCCTGTGCCACTTGTACAGACTCATATAATCATGTATTTATGTATTCGTCTTCTTGCAGCGTTATATAAGTTGAGGAGCTGTGTTGAAGTCCGGTGCAGTTTAAAGCCGGATGTGTTTGTATCCGTCTGCAGAGGCTCATGTTTCCACACGGATCAGTCCGGGCCACAGCGTGTCTCTTCAGTCCGGCAGCTTTTGAAGGACAGGTGTAAACGTGGCTCCAACCTTGACTCGCTGGAAGCATGTCTCCTCTCTTCCCTTCCAGGACTTGCGTCATTATTGCTGCCTGCTCCCTTCAGCCCCACCCGTTGTTTTAGATGTGAATAAAAGTGACAGCGGGTCCACCGAAATGACGGAATGAGCTTGTCTGCAGGGTCACTTGTCACCTCCCCCTCCCCCCTTTGACGACTTATGCCCCCACCATTCTACTTCAGCTGTCTTATTTCCGCCTGCGGCCGATGCCGAATCGCTTATAAATTCTGAAGCTTGTCTCAACTTCCTAAACTCAATAATATTTTTTAATTTTTCTCAACTCGCATAAAGATAAAGACCCATAACTCACATCGGTGCAGCGCTGCAACAACATAGTATCTTTGACTTTTTTATCGTTCTCTCTCCGCAACCAAAGATTTGTGACAGTCAACCTTGAACAATCCTTTACTCTGACATTATTAGAGCACCTTAAACACATTGAGGATCCATCACCTTGAAGTGAGCGCCTCTCAGGCCCTTCAGTGCACCAGTACAGCAGTGACTCTAAATTACACCAAAGGAAACACTCATGCATTATAAAATAGATAAAATATAAAGCAATGAATAATTTATTAGAAACATCTAATGTGCAGTCTAACCTCCTCGTAGCCTTTATGCAGTAGGCTGTTGAAGTTAGAGCTGTGGTTTGTTTAACCACTGAGAAAAGGGGCAAGATGTGTTGCTGCAGTCGGTGAAATCCGTTTCAGTCTCTATTATAAACCGTCTGCACAGATTCAGTGTGTTGCATCAGAAACCTAATCGATGACCCAACCACCTCAAAGACTGCATCTTTCTTTTGATTTTGGGATGTTTTTCAAAGTCAAAAATTAATTGTTTGAAACCAGTAACAGGAGAGCACATGAAGTGAGAAACTCAAGACGGTTTCTTTCTTTCTCCTCCTTTATTGCCGGTACACTTTTTCTTCTCTTAGTTTGTTGCAAACAGGAAATAATGTTGCAACACCAAACAGTTCACCTCATGAAAGTGCACTCATTAGTTTTTATGATGCATGAAGTCACAGTTAAATGACAGAAAAGAACGATCAGAAACGGGCACGTCTTCTGCTTTTTGCGCCGTAAAAGCTGTTGCCATGAGCAGCTGGTCACTGCTCACACGTGTTTTGAGTTATAAAATAAATCTGTGGCTCAGGAACCGAAGAACTGGTAAAATCAGTTTTTGTATTTGTATGCTAGAAAACATTGAAGCTGTACATGCATTTCTCCCATAATCACACTTAAAAAAACATCAAAAGAAATAATAAAGACAAGTTGTTCAAAAACATTGATCTTTCAGAATCAGTTTATTATTGTGTGAATTCTTATGGAACTTTCACACTAATACGTTTTCTTCTGTACATTTTTTGTCATGTATCTCTTTCAGCGTTTTTTTGTTCTGTTTCAACAGTTTATGTATCAAAATATTTATGTCCTTCAGGACAGTTATGACTTCTGTTACATTTTGAGATATATATAAATAGCTTTTTCTGCCTCATTGACAAGGACTGGAGCAGTCTTCAACATCCTTAAAACTCATCAAAATTTACTTTATATATTTTTAAATTTTAGTTCAGCTTTTTTAACTCGTGCTACTTTCAGCTTTCTTCTGCTTCAATATTGCCAATTTTAGCAATTTTTCTGCATTTTTAGCTATCGTTCTTACCTTTTCTGGTATTTTTCTAATTTCAACTGTTTGTGATTCCTTCAGCTGCTTTCTGCTAATTGCAGCTGTTTTTGGCTGTGTCCAAAACGACGGGCCGGGTCCTTGGTAGACCGGGAAGACTGGAAAAAAAGAGGCTGTGAATTTGGACGGTCTAGCCTCCCCTCCTTACCCCGGCGTACGTCATGTCACCTAGCAACTGTGACRACGCTAAACAAGCAAACTTAAATCAAAACTAGAAAAATATCAATACATTAGCATTATTAATATCACAAAACTATAAAATTAACTTAAAGGTAACATTTGAAGAACTAATTGACCCGCTGTAGGTTCATGTTTATTTCGCTTTTTTTATGACGAAAAAATAATATTTAAAAACATGTCCATACAAATGATAAAAGTATTAGAATTACAACCGCTAATTTTTTTTAATTTTTATATCACCATATTTTTATTTAAAACGTATTCTTTTCTCTCGCTTCATCCGCCATTACTAGCATAAACAAATCTCCGGTCAGGCTGCAATGCATTATGGGATATGCTGGGCCGGGAAGGATCCATCRGACCTGTCCTTCGATTCGGGCCAAAGGAAGGACGTATTTGTCGGCCGCATCGGAGGAGTCTTCGGTTTTGGACGTCCTTCGTTGCGGCGCTGTGACGTATACGGCCGACAAATTCGACCTTCGGAGGACCCGTCCTGCCGTTTTGGACACAGCCTTTGTGTTTTTAGCTACATTTTAGCTAATTTGAGCTTTTTGTGACCGTTTCACCTCTCTGTTTCTTAATTCAGCAAATGTGCTCTTGTTGTTTCTTTGTGCCAATTTCATCATATAGTTTTTAGGCTAGTTTTAGCTTTTTTAGGCGTTTAGCAAACATCTTTCAGCRTTAAGCATTCACAGTGCATTCTGTGGTTACATTTTATTTGCTATACTTTTCTCATGTTCAAATATCCTCAGTTTTCTTTCTAACGTAATAAAGGTAATTAAGTGGATGGTTTTTTATAAATTGTTTTTAAATGTGAGTGTTGCATTTATTTTCACCTTGATTTTGGCACAACCGTACTGAAAAGTCTGGTTCACCTGTGGCCGCCGTCATTCCTGGGTGTAAATAAGTGTTGCTAACATCACATCGGCCAACAGGAGGTGCCACATAAACGATCAGGAGCAGCAGCAGCCGCAGCCTTGCTGTGTGTCGCCACGTCGGAGACAGAGTCTGATCTATGACTGCTGCAGGGCGGGAGGTCTATTTCTCAACCAGCTGCACTGTGCCGCGGCTTATCTCCGGCTGTGCCTTTAGCTGATGGATGACTGCACTGAAGTGGATGGGTGGGGGGGCGAGGGAGAGGACCAGAGCAGCAGACCCCCAGTGGTCGAATACAAGCAATCAAACCAGAAACACTCCACTAAAACAAAAAAACCTCATCCAAAATACGCTAAAAAAAGAACGGCCTTGCATGTGTGGCTGCAGGCTCCACAGTTCACGGTACAGTGCCAGCAAAGGGTTTTTGTTTCACTAACTAGTGTGCAGGATGGGTGTGTTCTGGAATTTCCTGTCACCTTTTGTGTCGGTACAAACGAGAAGAAAGCAGTGGTTGTTACTTTGCTTTACAAAGGTCGTGTTTTTTGAGAGCTGCCACATTTATTTTTGAGTAAACATTAAACTTAGTTAGGCTAAAGTGAAATCTACTGGAAAGTAGCTTTTTGAGAATTAAAGGGTACGTCTCTCATTTAACATCTACTCATTTGATCGCATCTAAACATAGATATCTCTGTATAGGATGTGGTTAGTGAAGTGTCTGACAGTGTGGTTCTTTTTTTTAGTGTGTTGTGATTTCCTCTTTGTTTGCTGTGACTAATCATACTTTGAGTTGGTATTTTGTAAAAGACTGAGGTTTATTTTACCCTCTCGTTAGTTTAGGCTAGCTTACGGCTTGTCCCCGGCCCTCTTGGTTTGTCCACATCAGGCTCATAAAGGTCAGCTTTTAACAACAAGTCTGGAATAATGAGTCCATATTGAGTGAAAGTGGCTTTGTTTTCTGTTGGACGGTCTTGCGTCAGTGTTTTTTCAGGGAATGACATTTAGTGGGAATTATGTTCCACGTGTGAGCCTGCCCTCTGTTTGTCATCACGATACCATCTGTGTGCCTTATCTTAACCAGTTTTACAACTCGCCACAATCAGCTTTCAGGCAGGATGTGCGCGCGCACAACAATAGCCCATTGAATTAATATTTTTTTTCTTTTCCTGGTTCTCCTCCTCCTTTTATACGTCTCCTCTCCAGCCTCACAATGGTGCACTGTTTGGCTCTGAGGGGAAACTTGGGGAGGGTTTTAAAAAAAAAAAAAGCGCCAGCTCTCTGGAACACACTCAGAGAGAGAAGCCTGTTGTTTCTGCACAGCGGATGGCCATTTGGTAGCACTTCCACCCAGCTGCCCCCCTCTTCCTCCTCCTCYTCCTCCCCTCGCCTCTCTCAGCCCCTCCCCTTGCCTTTGTTGCCTAGCAACCCAGGGCTGGAGCAGTCGGAGCAGGGGCAGAACGATTCAGGGAGCAGATTGGCGGATGATTTATTAGCTGGGCTGGAGAGCAGTGAGCCCAGGCAGCTGAAATGGAGCCTTAAACTGGAGCCGACATGTAGAGGAGGGAGGAGGGAGCCAGCAAGAGAAAGAAAACNAGGCTGCATGTGTGTGTGTACCTGTTTGAGTGTGAGAGTCTGGTACTTCTCAAAGGCCTCCTGAGGCAGCGAACCGAGCTCTCTGATTTTCTTCATGCACTCCTCTTTCTTCTTCAGCAGCATGCCCTGTCTGTTGGTCATTTTCTCCAGCTCCTTTGTGTCGTGGTTGATGGCATCATTTTGCTCCTTTTCAATATTCTTCCATCGCTCCATGCTCTTTATGTGCTCCTTAATCTCTGCTTCTGTCTTGTCAACCAGACCGTCCAGGTCTAGAGAAGGCATTTGGAAAAGACAGAAGTGACCATTTCAGTCTGAATAAAACGCTGGTACAGATTCAAATTCAGGCTAAAGTCACAGCTCAGGAAAAACAACCTCTCTCTTTTACACACTGGGGTTTTCAATTCAGACATACTGAAAAATAAAAGCTCCAAGAAAATCAAACTGTTCTCTGAATAACAAAAAAGTAAATTGGCAAAAGTTAAGTGCAAAGAAGTGATTATAATATCCACTCAGGAGAGAATCAATGCAAATTAATTCTGCTCAGGAACAAGTGCTTTCTGACAACTTCAATGTACCAACATCATCTGAGTCACAGCAACACATTTATCCAAGAGTGCACGAACACATTTTGCAGTTTGTGAGTGTAACATGTAACAGCAGATCTTTATAATCTGCAGGTGGTGCCAAATAAGTAGGACACTCTAACAAGGGAGTAGCCAAAAAGAAAATCTTTTTTGAGCCGCATGTTTGCATTCTTGTCAACTAAAAAAGTCAGTAATTGTGTCAATTAATAATTCAAATACTACTAAATATAAATTTAATCATTTTCATGGTGCATATCTTTTAAAAATATTGTATTACCATTTATTAGTGTTGCATGAATCGGATGGGGGTCCAGATATTTATAATCACTAAAGTCAAAACCAGCAGGTGGTGTTTCAGATCTGCTAGGTCAACATATGTCCTCTATACACACACCTCTACAGTGTTTAAGGGTTTTGTGTTTGATCTATTTTGTTTGATTTGGAGCAGAAAATGAGTCTCTTTTGTCAACTGATGCTGGTTCCTCCGGGTATGTAACCCTAACCTGAGAGAGAAAGACGAGCTTCAACCTAATGTCAGTTTGTCATATAATGGAAGATTTAGATTTTTAAGTGAGGGCAACATGTTCACAAGTTGGTTGAATGTGCACGACTACTTTAAAACACACAGTACTGAAAAAAATACCAGTAAGTTATACCATGATCAGAACTGTTTACCAGTTGTTTCCAAACTGTGGGGAAAGAACCCCTGGAAAGTGCACGAGTGTGTGTGTGTGTGTGTGTGTGTGTGTGTGTGTGTGTGTGTGTGTGTGTGTGTGTGTGTGTGTGTGTGTGTGCTCCATCTACTGGTTAATCAACCGCTCCTCTGTCAGGCTGATGAGTTTAAATAACCGACTGTCCCACAACAACTTAATTTAGTTTCTCTGTCGGCAGGGTCTCATGTGTTTGGGCTGGTTTTATTACTCATGTTCACAGCTACACCCTAAAACTGGAAAACCTGAGACCATAAAGTGTTTTGCATAAAGTTGATAGTTTAAGTACAGGGAGTTGTTTATTCTTCTGGTTAGATAGAAGCCTTTCTGTTTGTCTGTAATTTGACCCTCTGGGAAACAGTTGTTTTGCAGCTGGCTGTTTGACTTCAGTCAAATTTGGCCTTTTATTCCTCACCAAAGCTGGATATGTAAACAATCTGTGGTTACATAACTCTCTGTACATGGCATGGAAAATGAGCTGTAGAAACTCCTTGACAGGGAGGATCCATGTCGAGTTTTTCTTCCCTCTTGTCTCCTTCCTCCATGTCCAGGACCTTTTTCCACACAAATTGTGTCAGCCTGCCTYCCCTCTCAGCCTGGCAGCTGGTTCCTTCTCTGTGCGTGCTCTCCCTAAGCTTTCATTTCATTTCATACACTTCTGTAGTTTTCTCCCTAAAGAGGGAAAATATCTTTAGTGGGATTTTAGTGACAAACCGAGGCTTGTTATTGTTTATGTTTTAGGGCAGGAGCAGTAATCCAGTTCACTCAGTGTGGGAGGAAATCAGAACAAGCTGAAAACAGCACCGTCCCCAACACTTAACATGAAGCGCTCAAATCCACCTCAGGTTTTGCAGCCTGCTGCAAACCAGAGGCTCTCTTGCAGAAAGATCACATGTAAAGCCTTCCCCTTTGTAGTGGAAAAGCAGAGAGTGACAAGCTATTTCTTTCTTGTTAAGAAAAAGAACCGCCGTGCTGTCGGAGACCTTGTGGATTTGTCCCCTGATTTATTTTTATTTTTCCTTTTACCTGTGGCTGCTTGTGGAGATCCGTGCTGCGCTCCCTGTGGACTTTCCCCTGCTTTTTGCCGGAGTTACTTGCTGGAAACGGTTGGCTGAGATCACTGAGAAACGGGGCTCGCCTCTGGAGCAAGAAAGTAAATCTGTTAGTTGTCTGCTTCGCTGGTTATGAATGTTTTCAGCCGCTGCTTTTTATGGCTCGCAGTCTGTGGCTCTTAAAGGAGCAGGGATGTGTTCAGGTTGTTGGGATTTTTAGCTCTTGTTTGTTCCCGGTTTCTGTTTTTGCTCTGAGGTGAGGTGGCTTCTTCACGTTCACTTTTCATGTCAGATTAAAAGCCAGATGTCATCAAGCAGCGGCTTCTTTCTTTATGYAGTTCACCTTTCTTTTTGTTTTTACAAAACATGTCAGTTTGACATCTTGACATGTTATTTTAGGGATTTAAAATTTATGTAACGTGGAAAGGAATCATTAAATCTGCCCACCAGCAAGGCTTTTCCTCGCTTTTCAACTCTCCCGTTTTAGGTTTTGACATGAAACTTTCACTTACGAGTCTAACAACAGGTTTAATATGTCTGCCAGGGTGTGTTTTCATATCAGACAGTTTTTATGTAACTGTGTTTTCACAGCACAGTAAAAAGACTAACCTAATCTCAGCGTCTCTCCCTGCCGTACTTGTCACTTCCTCTCTCGTTTTGCCCTGACATGGCTGTGTTTGCTCCGGGCTTTAAACAGCAACAGAGGTTTCTGAAACACACATCAAACCTCTCCGACCACAGACTGGCAAAAAAAAACAAACAGCTGCCCTCCCTCCCCTCGTTGTTGTGGTGTTCAGCAGTAACTTTTTTGAAGCCACAGTTTAGCTGATTTCACACACACTAACTTGCCTTTTCTTTTCTTCTCTTTTCTTTTTTTTTTCTTTCTCTGTGAAAAATTGCAGAAGCGCTTCATTAAAGGGCTGAGACAGTTCGGCAAAAACTTCTTCAGGATCCGGAAAGAGCTGTTACCCAACAAAGAAACGGTAAGCCTCTGCTACTTTTCTCTCTGCAGAACTTTTTCGGCGCGTTTCATCCGTCTTGAAAGCGAGACAAAATGAGGTTGGAGCTGCCGAAAAGCCGAGCAGCAGAACATCTGTAGTGAGATATTTTAAGCACGGCTACTTTTTAACTAGAGGCCTTATTGATAAGAAGTAAGAGGCAACTACTGAACTGTGGATTATAAACAGAGACACAAACATTTATAGCTTTAAAAGATAGTCTAAATCCACTTCACAGATAAGTTTTAAAGTTATTTGAAGTATTGTTTGTAGCAGCTYTGAGGAGTAACACAGTGATAATTTAACATGTTGGATTATATATTTATTTTTACGAACTCCAGGATTGTTTTCCACTTAATTACCTGATTTAAACACTTTAAGTTTGGTGAAAATGTTCTTTTTGTTTTCAGACATTAAAACAAAAAAAAATTCATCAGCATCCTACGATATTAACAGCTGAGATTTTCTGCTGTCAAAACACTTTGGAGTCTAAGTAGGGGTGGTGCTTTCCTGGTAGGTGTAGGATTTAGCTGTCAGTGCCAAAGCTTTTGATTCGCGGAGACATCTATTTAATATCTCTCCCACTCTGTAATTGTGTTATTTATGTAGACGAGCAGTGGGGTGTTTTCGATTGTCACACTTCCCTCTCCTGCGTTGGAGGGCGCACGCACACACGGCACCGTGAACAACCGTGTGTAGAGCTACAAATGGCTCCAATCCAGGCCTGATGATGATTAACAACTGTTAACCTTATTGAAGGAGAGCTTGATGTTGAAAGAACAACACAAACACTACAGATTGTACTTCCTGTTTCGTAACGTTTATGTAAAGCAAAACAAAACCCTGTCATGTGAACATATCCAACACGGAGAGGAAGATTTCTGACCTGAATGTCCTTCACGTTTTTGACTCGTCTTTTCTCAGAAAAGCCTCGTGGTTAAGAAAACAACTTGTTGTTTTAGTACGGCTGCTCCTGCTGGAACCGTGTCGATGCAAAGCTGACACAGACATCAAAGGGAACTCAAAGTTGTTTGTCATACTTCTCATCTGCTCCATTTCCTTGTCTGCTGTGAGGTTAGGGTACGCCATCTCTCTTCCCTCCAACACCCAGACATTCATTCATGCAGGATGTCACTTCCTTTTTCCTACATTTTTTTACTCCTGAAAACCAATTTGGACCTTTTGAAAAAGAGATTATAGCATAGGAATGGTGTTTTTCCCTCCAAAATATATGACTCGTCTTGTTGATTGGCCATAAAGCCGGCATTAATGCAGTGCAACCTGGAGGGGGCGAGTCTTCTTGACAGGAAGGGTAATAGACCTCCTCCAGGATCAGGGCCTGCCACCGCCACAAAACAGAAAAAGATTAATTTTCCCCCCACAAATGGAAAAGAAACTGGGCTTTAAACACATGAAAGGATGACTGTAAGAGCAAGTCGAGGTAACATGAGAAGTTTAGGTTGACTCACAGGTGGGGAAACTTTGTTTAATGATTTTTAACACCCTGACAAAAGCTATTTCTGTTCCCAACTCAGCATAATAACAACATAAAGATACTTCACATTGTTTTGATGAAATGTGTTTTTTTTTTCTCTTCAGTCACACACACACACACGTACATCTCTGTTTCACTCACATGTCAGGCCATGAAGTCAGCAGCGTGTTTCACGTGCACGCTCGCCTCTGCTCTGAATCCCAGCCGGAGAGCAGAGCTTTAAGCCCTTGGGCTGATATCCAGACTTAGAGGTCTAGTACAGCGTGTGCATACCCCTCGCTACCCCCTGAAACACCAGCACAGCTCCAGCACTCAGCGCCAAGGGTAAGCACCCAGCGCTGTGTAAACACACCCGGCCTGAGCAGCGGTCAGGAATGCCTTATATAAAGCCACATAAATGCCCCAGCTGGGGGTGGGGGGGGAGTGGGTGTGTCTGCAACTGGCTCCGCTGCCACCATTTCCTTCAGTCCAGCGGAGACGTCATGGAACACGAGCTGGCCTCCTCCTGTGTTTGAACAGCTAAATATGCTGAAATAGCAGATCGCAGATAAATCCATCGCTGATTTATTTAATTTCATTTTTTTTTTTATTGCTGGAGGAGTTTTCAGGAAAATGTTGTTTTAGGGGATATCAACAGACCATATTTGCTAAAGCGATTTGGATCAGCTGCAGCTTTGTTTGCTGTGCAGCCAAACAGAAAAGGACAGATTAATATTGCATTCAATTTGAAATGTTTTTACAGCCAAAAATCATTCCAAGTAAAAGACAAAAAAAATCATCATATGAGTCGTCTTCGCTGCTGTTACAGTGGGGTGAAAAAAAGAGTGTAACTATTTTTTGTGACAGAAAACTGTTGTCACCAGTTGTTTTTATTTCTCCGTTTTGTGGGAAATAATAAAAGATTATTCTCAGATTTAAAAAATTACTGCAAAAACAATTAGTGCTTAAAATTACATCAAGTTTATCTTGGAGAAAGATTTCAAATTCCATAAAAACTAGAGTAATTTATTTACTCGATATTCGCATAAGTGTATTATAAAGGTTATTTATAGACTATAAACATGATGAGCACCAGAACCGAGAGCAACTATAATCTAATAAAGTCAGTGAAGCAGCGTAAAACCATTTACAAGCTCAGAACAAAAGCTTTAAGTATGTGTGTATTTTTGTCAGCTCTTTTTTTAAATTCTTACTTCATTTCTGCTTTCTGTTGTTCATTTCGCTGAGAATTAAAGAGCAGAAAGTGTCTTGTTCCCAGTCTAACTTCAGTTTAGATTTTAAGGAGTCAGAACTGTTAAAGTATTAAAAACATGTAAAGTAAGGGTATATTTTGTCTAAAAACCGCAGAGGTTTAAACAGGAAAGGGTAAACAGAGCGGTGCTTTGAGAGTGCTTTGTTTTTGTGTGGACATGAAATAAACAGCAGCACCTGATCCGTCACGATAAATTATAAAGGATAATATTATTTTGTGAGTAACATAATGATAGCACCTCTGCCCGCTTAGGGAGCTTACGGATGTTTATGAAATTTACGTTTAAAAAAAGTGTCAAACTGACCTGGACCAGCGATTTGAAAACAACACACATCTACTGAAGCTGTAAAATCCCTTCCCACCTCTGTTCATGCCAGCACAATTTAGTCTTTGTGTCTTCCTGTGGCTTCATAAAAGGATCATGGTTACCCTCATGCCACTTACAACATTTACGAAATTTGCGCTGTGTAAAAAAAAAAAAAATAATAATAAACTCTTTGCAAACCCAAGATTCGGCACATTGTCTTGAGGCGTTGCCAGCTGAAAGGTGTTCATAGGTCTCTCATGCTACAGAGCTTATGAGACCACTAACCTTGTAAACACCTGACGTCAGAGTTCACTCCTCCCTACGCTAAGAAAAGAGGKAGACAAAGAAAACAAACAAGCAAATGAAAATATTAGTTTTAATTTATCGTTTGATTAGCTGATTTATTGCTTATATTGCTGCTGCTTACTGACCTAAGCAGCACATTTTAAAAATTTACAAAATGACTCATTCAAAGGAAAAATTGTAAAACCAACCGTTTGAATGCTGTGATTGTTTTTGAAAATGCTGCTGTTTTTTTAAATAGGCTCCTTGTTTATTTGACGCTCAGACCAAGCAGCAGGTAACATGCTGAGCTGTTTTGTTGCATCTTGTTCTCCCTGAGAGAACGGAGCGCTCCGTCCCCCCAGCCCCTGTCATTTACAGGACGGCCAACAGCAGAGCGGTGCTCTCCACACAGCCTCGCAGCAGATGTTTGCCCCGGTACAATCTGCGCAGATGTCAAATTGAATTCATTGCCATGTCTTTAGCCCAGCAGCCAGGACCTTGGGGTACGAGTGCTTTTACAAATAAGTTCAAACACTAATTAAACCAGCTACAAACTACAGGGGCCTCAGTTGTTTCTACAGCTGTGTGACAGAACTGTTTGGTAAATGATATAACTTGTTTAGGCAGTAAAATTGCTGTTGGCTGAGAAAAACCCAACTAGCACATATTGATGTTCTTAAAGCAGACCACAAGCGATTCAGCGCAGTCGAATGTAGGCAAAATCTTTTTACGGTTTAATAGACGGGAGCCCGGAGAGGCAAAGAGCTCCCTGCGTAATTGAGTCTTTGGTCGGTTTCTTGTTGTGGTTTTTTGGGGACTGACTTATCAGCAGAACGCGCCGGATCAACCCTCCAGCAAAAAAAAAAAAAAGCACTGTTGCCATCCATTCTGCTTTCACTGGCAAAAGCGCTTACAGCAGGAAAAACACGAGTGCTGATTCTTCAGCATGTGCATCCCTGACCTGTGAAAGCAGAGCTTATTCAGTCATTCTCTGACAGAAAGGCTCTGCACAGCAGAGAGCGTCTGTCTGGTTAACCAGCTCCCTCATGCACCCTGTTCCATCAGCTCACATACTCTCGTTGCGCCATGCTCACGTTAAGGCATCACTCGGCTTTATTACAGATGCTGGGATCCGTTTTCTTGCCTGATTCCTATTTTTGATTTTTGTAAACATCTGACCTAACAATTAAAATGATGGCAGACAGATTTCTCTCAGAAAACTAAATTATAATTAACAGCATTTGTTTGGAATTTCTAGTAGAAAATTCAACTGTGTTCATAATAAACACACAATATAACTCCTGTAGATAATAGAACCTGAATATTTAAGCATTTTTTTTGTTGTCCACGCCCCCTAAAACAAAAACTGATCTCCTTTCAGAACTGATTATATTAATGTCCTACTTGGATTGTTACCAACATCTGGTGGAAATTTCATGTCATTAGCACCTCTAGTGATATATTTACTGAGATAAATGGTGACGTGTTCAATACTTATTTTACTCGCTGTAATAGTAATTATTAAAAGATTAAAGCCTGATAGTCATCACAATAAAGCTGTTAAATCGTTGTTTACGTTTGTGAACTTGCTAATTACAGGTCTCACAAGGAAAGCTAGACTTTAAAAAATGTTGCCTGGAGCTGCAGAAATACCTCTGTAGAAAAGCTGGTTCTTTTCAGAAGTTTTCAATATGTTTTGGTTTTTCCTCTAAGGATTTTTTTTTGCACCGTGCACAAATACCCCACTGAGTATTTTTTGTTTAGAAAAACTTGTACACAAAAGTAAACTTGTTAAATATGTTTTAAGACCAGGAAAAACTAAGTTTAAATAAATTTAAACAGCATATATCTTCTTTGAAATATCTTATAATAGTGTAATCTGGAAAAATACTTTAAATTCTAAGAAAAATCACCAAAAATGGCCCTGTGGGTCTCAGAGTTTATTTTTAAACTCCTTAACCCTTAAAGTGTTGAGCAAGTTCCCTCCTGCAGTAAGAGTCAGCCTCAGCATGAACAGGATGGAAAAGTCAGCCGGCCCTCCGTACTATACTGTACAAGCTGCCATGGGCCACAGGCGGAGAGGAATTACAAGTCCCGGGGTCAAACACATATATCATTAAAGCACGGTTTGATTTAGTTTGGAAATACTTCCCCCTTAACCTCACTGAAATGAATCAGGAAGCAATCTGCCCTCCTCCATCTGCAGGCTGCACAGGATCCGGGAGGAGCTCAGGTTCATGCTGCTCTAATGGATGTTTACACAACTCGCCATCAACCGCCAGAACCCAGAACGACACGGCCCCCGGCCCCCCACCCCCGTGCTCTCTGTTCTCCAACCGCCTGAAATATTTATCAGAAATTCATATGTGTTGAATTTGCTTCGGTAGTTCTTTGTGGTCGGTTTGAGTCTTGATTGTCCATTGTTACCCACCGCTGGCTCTTTCCTCCCTCTCGGCCCCCCTCCGCTCCTAGCCCTCCCCCCATCCTGGTCGGCTCGCCCCCGTACTCTCCTCCTTCTCCCTGCTCCTGCCAGCAACGGCCTTAACCGTTTGGCTTCATGTCAAAGCAGGGGCCTTTTGTGGCTCTGTCACAAATCTGCCAGGAAAAACAGAAACCATCTGTTCAGGCCTGGACCTGAGAGCGAACCAGGGTGTAAATACATCAGTTTAGGCCTCGCCCTCAGCCCTGCCAGTGCACACTGACTGGACCAGTGAGCCCACCGAAAGGACCCTGCACCATCAACCAACTCTCCCACCAGCAATTAGTTCGTAGTCTGGATTGGTGTGGCAGTTAATCTTACTCAGTCATAACCTTTTGGGAATAAGTTAGCTAATATTAACTGCTGACTGGGATTCTGAAATATGTGTTCCTGTTTGTTAGCTTCAACGTTCTTGGCTTTTAATGTGGGCAAGTTGTTGATGTATTTAGTGTTCCTTTGAGTTCACTTTCAGGTATTGGATCAGGACATTTTTGTAGATAAAGATTCACTAAAAACATCCTGATTCTCCTGCTGTTTTTACATCAGTTCTGACAGCAGCGCTCAGTGTAGCACGTGGCTAATTAGCATATCAATACAGAGGCGTCTTATTAAAAGGCCTATTCTGAACCACTGCAGCTATACTTATGTCAATTAATCAGTTTGCACATTTAAACAAAACAAGCTTCACTCAGTCACTGGGAAACAGAATTAGAGAAACAGGTTATTTTTGTAAGCTGTTCAAATTTTATTGTCGTTAAGGAACAAAATATTGATTTTAGGGTCAGTAAAGAAAGATTACGTCATTTAGAATATATTGTTACAGACTTATTTCTGTTTTTTATTTATTTAGGTAATTTTGACATCAATGATTTTAATTCTGTATTGTTCTAGAAAACTAAAAAGTCTTGTAAATATCGTTTACTTTGTGGTTTGTAGATTAGTAAAGACCTTGCTGTAAAGTCTTTTTTTCTATAAATAATGATTTTGCTTTAAAAATACAAACTGCAAAATAAATGATCTCACTTTATTATAATGTTATCACATTCATATTTAAACACAAGCATAGAGACACAGCAAGAATGGTTTTCTTCTGAACTGCACTGCAGGGGTTTGTAAAATGGCCACCGATTTCTTCTCCGTGTTAGAACATCATGAAATGTTGTATATGGTTTTGAGCTTAAATTTTTATTTAATTTTTTTTATACAGAGTTGCTCAATTTAAGTGGGAATAAGTGGAATGGAAGCCCTGAGGGTGGTGATAGGACTGTAAGCTCTTTGCTTGTTGGATAATCCAGCAGCCAGAGAGCTCCTGCAGATGGAAGCCTCTAAAATGCCTCATAACACTGAGCTTATGTTGTCACTATCTCATGTTCTCCAGAGTCTATGGCTCTGCATCGATTCAGCGGACTCTGAGAAATTTATTAATCAACAGCCAGGACCCGTTTAGCTTTCTATTTTAAGTGTTTCCACATTTATTTTTTTCTACTTTTTACTTCATTCAGCTGCACGGATTTAAAATGCAAATTCATTCAGTTGTTCACTTTAGTGTTTCTCCATGAAACAAAAAGGCAAGTTTACTTTGAAGCCCTGGTGGACACAAACCAGCAGCCCAAACATCACGGAGCAGAACAGAAGGCAATGAAAACTAAAGTGTTGCTGTGGGCATATGGCAGCGTGACAAAGTGCCTTAGATAGACAAAAGTACACAGTCGGTGTTGAAGACGGGACTGATGTGACTTCAGAGGACCTAAATTTGACATGCAGGCAAGCTGAGAGGTAATCTGTCTGCATTTCTCTGACGCTAATTTACAGAGCAAAGCCTCGTTCAGCCACAGTAATGCTGCTTCATGTTCGGCTGCTTTTATCTCAGTCATTATATAACTCAACTTCATGTTCAAAGTGTTGCCTGTAATGTTTGCTCCGTCAACATGTCCGCATTCAAAATTAATGTTTACCAACAGCAGAAAAATTATTTATTTATTTTAGATCAAATTCATTTTTCTAAGCTGCTTGTCCGTTTAAATTTATATTTACACTGACATCCAGCTGCAGCAGCTCGTCATAGCACCTGCTAATTTTAATTCAAAACTGAGTGTTTTCATAAGGCGCGCCCGTATATAATGGTGCTTGACACACGGTGTAAGTGATGGAGTGGCAGGGTGACCTTTCCTTGTGTCTGCCGAGCTGTTGCCGAGGCCGTGTCGTCAGCTCACAGCGAGGCGGAGGAGAGGCACCGCTGAGAACCGTCATTAAGCACAGAGCAGAGCCAGCGCCCGGCACCACTCGACACTTTTGATCCGCACATTTCAATTAGATTTCACATCGGGGCGCCTGCCTTGCCTCAGTTAGCACCTGCGGCCCGCCTTTCCAACTGGCCGAGCAGGTTCTGAAGAGGGAGGAGCACGGGGAACACGACCGGCGCAAACTCCGACCGACTGAACRAGTCGCAGCTCAGCAAAGCCTTTAGCCACTGTAACCTTCTTTAGCTGCTTTGTTTGTTTCACACAAGGAAAAACAAAGAGAAAAACTTTAAATGAAAGTTGATTATTTTTTTTACGTAATAAATGTGCTCTGTAGGAGTTAGACTGCACAGCTTTGTAAGTATATCACCTCAACATATCCTAAATCGTGAGACTGTTCCTCTGAGCTCAAACGCCATCAGCAAATGTTCCCAGCACTGCTTCGCCTGATAAGATGGAGTCTAGCAGGGGCTGGTAGATATGAGTTCTCCCTAAGAGCCRACATGAAGGGACAGTTTGTTATTAAAGTGGCCTAAGCCCACTGAGTTGAACATTTTCTGCCAATCAAAGCAGAAAACTTCAACTTTCTTCTTAATGATAAATACTCAACTTGTTGACGTGATGAAGGAAGAACTTAAAAAAAAACATTTAATCAAAAGCACTTCAAGCAGACTTGTTCTTAATGATAAGAAATAAAGTCAGGGAAACTTCTTTAGTTTTCATTTTTACCAGCCTCTTACACGTTTGAACCATCGGCTTTGTTACGATCAAGCGTTTTACAGCGAGTTATAAACGTTTGTTTCATCAAACCGTTTACTCCACAGCTGTTTGTTCAGTTTTTTTTATAGACATTGCTGTACTGTAGCAGAAAAGCTGTTAATGTATTTTAGGGAGCAGTGGACTGACTAATTTATGTCAAGGTTCGCAGCTGAAGCAGAGAAGGAAAAACAGTCAATAGCCATAAAACCCTGGGAGCTTTGAACAGCAGTTTAACACAGAGACTGTTGATGGCRGCCCTCTGGGCTTTAAAGATTACAGGTGACTTACCGCTCAGTAAACAATCCCACAACATGACTTTATGAATTCGTAATGAAGCCAGCGGAGGACCACTAACTAGTAAATGTTTAGAGTAAAAACAAAAAAACTTGTGATACTTCACCACTGTTTTGACTCCTGTCAGTGATTTTCAAAGCTTTGTGCTAACCGGAGAGCAGCAGTTAATATGCACAGGCTGCATCAGCAAAGKGCTTTCTGATCCATGATCGCATGTGTTAATGTTTCAGTTGGATATTGATTTCCTGGCGGCCTTTTGTTCGCTGGATTTATCCGCCCGGCTCGCTGGCAAGTGCACCCCTCCGAATGTTTGATTAAAGTTCAATTGACTCTTCCAGCGAAGGGGCRAGGAGCCATTTCACTCCCTATTTGTAGCGCCAAAGCTCTGCCTGACATGTCCTTTTGTTCCCATTCAACCTCCTGCCACCCAGGCAGCCACCAATGCACTGATCCTAATATCCCTGCATTCACTCCGCCTGCTTGTCTAATCCGGGGACAGACAGGGACGCAGCGCAAACATGTCCAGCCAGCTACAAATCCCGGCATGGACTGACCCATTCCACGGGCTTTCACTTTACAGCAGATAATCAAAGGAGCCCCCCYTCAAAAAACCTTCAACAAGTTGATCAATCATCCATTTTTTTTTTCTCCAATCAGAAGCGCCATCTTGTTGAGTTCGGCTGTTTCATCAACATGTCTTGTTTTTCTTTCAGGGAGAGCTAATCACCTTCTACTACTATTGGAAGAAGACGCCCGAGGCTGCCAGCTGCCGAGCCCATCGCAGACACCGCCGCCAACCCGTTTTCCGCCGCATCAAGACGCGGACCGCTTCGACTCCTGTCAACACCCCCTCACGGCCGCCCTCGAGCGAGTTCCGTACGTAAATCCGAGGCTTTCATTAGCAGCCGAGATCAAAAGGCAGCGCAACAAGCTGCGCCTTCTAGACGACGTGTGTGAAGTGTTTGTTGTTTGTGCTTCTTTCAGTGGACCTCAGCTCAGCCAGCGAAGATGACTTCGACAGCGAAGACAGTGAACAAGAGCTAAAGGGCTACGCCTGCCGCCACTGTTTCACTACCAGTAAGAACGCTGCATAAAACCCRTTGTGCTCACACTCACATGGAGTCTCTTGGCTATTGCTGTTCTGTCATGGGATCTGTGTGAGCCCGCCCTGCACTGAGCTGTGTGACAGATGGGCATCAGAGTATGTCAGGACTAATTTGATCAAATCAGACATGAGCCCACTCTCTCCACCTCATTATCCCTCCCCCTTTTTTCCAAACAGCTGGCTCCCAGCTGATCGTGCTCAGGTTGCCATCACAAGAGTGGCAAATAACTTTGGCTTTACAGACCTTATTATTAAATTATTCACTATTCTGGCACAGAAACGAGCAACCTTTTGACATCATCGTTTTTTTTTTATTTATCTTTCTTATATTCTGATTTGTCAGCTCACTTCAGTGTGTTGTTTATACCTTTCACCACCTGTGAGAGTGTCTTATTTCACAACTGTAAATGGCTTTCCTCAGCCTCCAAGGACTGGCACCACGGGGGCCGGGAGAACATCTTGCTGTGCACCGACTGCCGCATTCACTTTAAGAAGTACGGCGAGCTGCCGCCCATCGAGAAGCCCGTCGACCCACCGCCATTTATGTTCAAACCTGTCAAAGAGGAAGAGGATGGACTCAGCGGGAAGCATAGCATGAGGACCCGACGGAACCGAGGCYCGGTGAGGCAACACTCCCCCTCCATCTATCTATTTTCACCTTTACAAACAGATCCTCCGTTATCCCCGGAGCAATGAGAACYAAAAAGACCTATCATCACAAAACAAACCGTGCAGTGGCAACTGTTTTTTTCCTACTTGGTTTCATACAGAAATGTTACAGTTTGGAAACCTTTTGTTGAAGTCTCATGTTTGTTTTTTCTACTTTGCTTTGATTTCAGATGTCAACTCTACGTAGTGGTCGTAAGAAGCAGACAGTGAGTCCTGATGGCAGAGCCTCACCAACCAACGAGGATTTGCGTTCCAGCGGCCGGACGTCACCCAGCGCAGCTAGCACCGACAGCACCGACAGCAAGACAGACTCCATGAAGAAGCCAAGCAAGGCACGCAAAGTGGAGATTCATTAAGTTTTTTATTTCTCTGTGAGGTTTCTGTTCTTATGGCTGCTGTTACCTTACAGAAAATTAAAGAGGAAGCTCCTTCTCCAATGAAGAGTGCCAAACGGCAGAGAGAGAAGGGAGCTTCAGACACAGAGGAGCCTGAGAGGGCCAGCGCCAAAAAGACCAAAACACAGGTGGGTTTGTGGTCTCTGTTTGTTAAAGGTGGGATGTTATGCAGAATTGACTTTTTAGAGCTTTATATCACGTTTTAATGTCAGTCCCTCATCAAAAACATACCCAGAGTTGCTTTGACTCATTCATGCATGTTTTGCTGCTACAAAGCACCACCTATTTGTACAAAGCTCAGTCTAGTCGAGCTCCCGCTCCACAGAGCACCACYCTCCCRAAGCATTGTTGTGAAACGTGCTGAAGTGGGAGTGTTATAAATGGTAGGAAGCTAATATAAAAAGGCTTTGATGCAAAGTCAGATTCATTTTTGATATGTAAAGCATTTCCATAACAACTGCAGGTAACGTAGTTACTTGA